AAGTTGCAACGTATGATATACACACAATAATTTGTCATATCACAAGAGTAGATCTATTTGGAAATCTGTAGAGTGACAAATTAAGAAAGGAGAAAGGCATGGGAAGAGGACAATCTGTAGAGATATTTTAGCCATTTAACCAAAAGATTACGTCTCGGTTTTCCTACTAAAAGTTGGATCTGTATATGCAATTGGTATTGCATTATGAGAGAGAGGGAGAGAGAGAGAGAGAGAGATTGGGTGTCATGATCAAGAATATTAAAATACCAATATTGGTGACCATCCCGCAGAAGCTACCTACTAAAAAAGCCCCATCTACTATTTAACCACTTAAAGTAGTACTAAATAGACTGCATATGTCACTCACATGTACTACATTAGTGTTACTGCTCTATCTTTCTCCAAAGGACCACATCTGTTGGCCTACCAAACCTCCTATTCCCTATTAAACTAGTCACATCTTTCTTATTTAGCTAGCTAATCATAATTATTTAGGGCTATTTTATTTTAATAAACAAGACACTCTCAAAAGCGAATCATATAATTTTATAAAATTAACGACATCTTGGATAGAATTGTTAGAAATATGACGGTGAGGATGTGTTAACTAGTTATGTATAATTCCTGGATGGATAAATTATAATGTATCAACGACATTTAGTACTCTCTAGTCGTAGGTGATTGTATGACGATGATGATTCATGTAAATTTTACAATGTATTAACGATTGATAGTTACTCATGAACACAATTATCTTCAGCATTTCATACATTGGATGGGATGGTCCCATTGCAATTCAAATGAAAGAACTCAATCTATGGATCAATAAATACCATTAGAGAGAAGATTAGTTGATAACAATCTACACCATCCTAAACCTCGACCTCATTTAATTATGAGAGATAAGAAATATTAATGTGATGCAGTACATATTATGTCAATAGATCCGACGGCGTAGGACATCCCTGATGAGAAGGTACATATATACATCATCTTAATGCAGTACAGCAAGTCATAAAATAAGAAAGATAAGTTCGCCTTGTTTGTTTGTTTGTATCAATTACAACAAAGTTGGTGCCTCAACAATTAAAATTGTTTTAGCTTTTTTTTAATTAATTTGACAGATGATGATTGATGAGGACATAAAGGCGCTCGGGCAAGGAAGGCTATAGATGATATGATGGCTTTGTCTTTGTCCACCCAACACCAGAACCCATCTGCTTGGACTATTTGGGTTTATATTCTTTAGCTGGGGCCTCCTTTTTTTCTTCTTTTTCCTCTTTCTTTCTGTTTTTTTTTATATTTATTTTTCTGGGTAAAAGCCGACCTGAGCAAATGCCCTGATATTGTTTATAATTATGCCCTGAGGTTTAGGTTACTATTTAACAATAATTGCATAATTAACTGCTTCATGATGGTGTTTAGCTTATGGGTTGATTCGTTGAAGCAGTCCAGACTGGATAAAGATAATGGGGGATATGTGGGTTTTGATACAGTAGGGCCAATCTGTGTGATGATGCCAAGATATCATCAAGTGTTAAATCCACCACACATTAATTTCTTAATATGTTCCTATTGCACAAACATTGTTTTCTTTTTTCCTTCTAATTTTGTGTTTAACGAGGATCTCCAACTCACATTGGCAGTGATAGCCCATTTTGTCCAATAGCTATGCCAACTTTATATAAATTGACCCACAAGACTTTGATAGGACCAATGTATATAATACCAATAAATCGTGTGATGAGAGAGATAAACACATATTGTTATTCTTCCGTTTTCTCCTTTAAAGCGAGGCAATAACCGCTGCTATATTTGGTGGCACAAGCCTTCCTTCCTCAGACCCCTACCAAAAAATTAAAAATTAAAAATTAAAAATTAAAAAAGAAAAAAAATAGTAAAAGGTCTGCATATAATTGCCAATGTAGCAGGTATTATATGGGCTTTCAAGTCACCTCAAGATAAGCAACTGGGCATCATAAGTGGACCCATATGAAGTTGGAATGTGATAGTTCGAGCCCACCTTGTAGCTTGCACTTGGGAGAAAGCTCAAGGCAAACTACTGTATGATTATGTCATTGACTCATTGTCTTGTGTTTAGCTCAGCCAATTCCCATGAAAGATTATTATTATGCCTCCTCTTCTATTGAAATACAGTATCAAGTGGGCAAATCAAAGTTTAGTCGACAGATTGATTTGAAAAATTCAACAAATAAAAGAGAAAAAAAGGAGAAACAAGAAGGAGAGGACAAAAATGGTGCCCATCCAAGTGCAAATGGAAAAGTGTTAAAAGCGCTAAGTAGGGTTGTTAGAGATTTTCGTCCTGATCTTAGGCCTGCAACACCACATATTCCATCTTCTCCAAAAGCTCTTTCATATTATGATTATTGTATGCTGATTATATATAACTTTTCTCTCACAACATGTACGTGATTCACTGGTCACACTAATATTATGAGGTGGATTTCACTCTTACGTGGGTGTCGTGAGAGAAAAATGATAAATAACAGGCACATATAAAAATTCATTCATGGTAGAAGGTAGCAAAAAAAGCACAATTACTGACTGTTGATATCTTTTTTCCCTTTTACTTTTGAGGCATAATGTTAAGTAAGTTTAGAGATGATGTGGTTGGGTGAGTTTCAGTAACATTGGCCTTTGTCTTTTTAATGCATTACAAGTGATTTGGACAAATTGGACTTGTAGGAATTTAATTTGTATGTTTCCCTTTAATGAATATATAGGCTTGATATATACAACTTACATTTACAACCAATGCTTGATCATTCAACCAGAATTGTTTCTGTGGCAGGGAAACAATTCTGGTTGTATTTTCACCCCAAAAGGCAACTGCAATGTGAGTGCATGCCTAATGTGATTAGCCCATAGCCCCATACTTAGAACTGACTCCTGCAAAACTAGCTTGCAAGGAAAGCATGCCAAAGAAAGAACTCTCATTCCAGTTGATTTGGCCCAATAATAGATGTCACCTACTACTAGTATTCTTAATCCATATTATTTATACAAGGCCCTGTCTCATGGAATTTAATCCCATTGATTTACAGGGTAGTTTGGTGGTAAATAGTATGTTTACCTACGCCACCCTCAACTTCATGAAGCAATCATATTGTTGTGAAAAATGGACAAACACTTTCACTCACTCCCCTAATGATCTTGTCGTTGATGGACTTTGTGACACACACAATGATGGATGAATCACACACACACACACTTGAGACAACAACCAAGCACAAAGTGACACAAGAATTTATAGAGGTTCAGCAATTGCCTACATCCTCTTGGTGATCCCCTTGAGAAATTCACTTCATGAAAGAATAAGTTACAACTTTGGTTTTACACAGAAAAACCCCTTAGAACTCTATTCTCTCCCCAAGCTCTCTTTTCTCTCACACCCCTTTGCTCAACACTTTGATGCACTTGTGAACACTCTCACAACCATATTACCCCAGATGGCATTTAAATCTCCTTTTTCCTTTCCTCCCTAATTCTGATCATCTTCTGTTGCTTTCACTAACAGATTGAGAAACTCTTAACACTGCTTGTGGTTTTCTCCAAATCAAACCAAAAAATTCTTTCGTCAAAAGAACCACTTCATCATACATCAGCAAGTGAATTAAACGTTGACGTTTACACTGTTAGCTTGAATTCATATTGCTCGGGAGCAATCTGTCAAGATGAGTTAAAGTCCATGGTGCAGAACAGTATGCTGATAAGAGGGAGACTACAAGATCATTCAAAGCGGGGATTTGGTACATCAAGCTCTTCTCACATGGGAATTTTATCTCATATACATAGGCGGAAACCTAAGAAACCACCAAAGTTGAAACATCATCTGCAATTTTATCTTCAATGTAGCACTACTGAATGCAATTCTCTTCGTTTCTCAACTTCTATGTTTTTCACAGAACTGTCATAAAATCTATACCATATGCCAAAAGATCATCAGCCAGACAAAAAAAACATAGAATTATTGGACTGCCTAAACAAACTAATACTGTTAGTGTTACCATAAAACGAAAAAAGATTAATGAAAATGATCAATAAGGCCAGTGTAAGGGAAGGAGCATAAGTTCACTTGCTCAAACAAAATCCGCAGAATTTGATTTATGGTATATTTTGAAAGGTAAAAGTATATTAGATGAATTCAAATTTACTCAAACAAAGAAAGATCATGATTCATTCTCAAAAGAAAATATGAAACAGCATGTAACAGTATGCTGATAGGAGGGACTAAACCATCAATCATTCAGAAGGTTTTACTGTCAAATTAAGGAGAAATATTGAAGGTTGAGTAGAGATAATGGAGAGTGTAGAGAATTTTGGGAGCTATGCATATTTTCTGATTTCAACTTATGTTCATTCTATTACACATCAAAACATATATACATGTAATAACCCTAAAACATTCCATGAAACATTCCCTAAGACATTCCATGAAACATTCCCTAAAACAAGGATTACATTGCTCAAGAAAAGTATTCCCTAAAACAAGGAATGAGACAAGTGCCATGAGACAAGGGGTGTCTTGTGTTTCATGTCTTTGTGTTCCACAAAGGACAATCACACAAGAAGCCAATATTGCTAACACTCCCCCTCAAGTTGGTGCATAGATATCACCAATGCCCAACTTGACCAGTGAGTTGTGGAATACCCTGCTAGAAACTGCTTTTGTCAAAATATCGGCTAGCTGGTCTTCGGACCTGACAAACGGAAGCTGAATTTCTTTATTGTCAAGTTTTTCTTTAATGAAGTGCCGATCCACTTCAACATGTTTAGTACGATCATGTTGGACTGGATTGTGTGCAATGGATATTGAAGCCTTGTTATCACACTGTAGATGCATTCCTAATGTAGGATATGAGTTAAAAACAATCTGCAGACTAACAAACAAACTAACGTTGTTACAATAAACAGAAAAATAATGATTACAAAGATTAATAAGCCTAGTAGTCTAAAGGACTCCTTAGCAAATTCACCATTGTTGCGCCAGTGAACTACTTTTCTCCCTAATTCTCATCATCATCCTTTTTTTTTTTGGGCGTTGACTACAGATCGAGAAACCCTTCACTGCTTGAAGTTTTCCTCTTCTCAGAGGTAGAGGGGACTTGCTGCTGGCCTCTAAACAATAACAGGATCGCCATCAAGAAGACAAAGGCTCCCCCAGCAAATGGTTGGTTGGAAATTGAATACACCGGGCAGCCCACTAATTTCAACTTGTTTGAAACTCTTTTTCTCTAAATCATACCAAACAAGACTATCGGACTTGAAATTTTTGCTCATCTTCAAAAGAACCGTTCTGCCATTCTTTGAAAACACCACAGGTTTGTAGGTCTGAAACTCCGCAGCATAAAGCATGTCAATAGAATAAACCGTGTCAATAGAATAAAGCAGGCTCCAAGATTCTGTCACTCCATATTCCTTCATAATCCAAGCCTCACATCGATTCATGAAACGATTGACACAAATACACAGATAGTCTCCCAAGGCATCCAATTCCAGCATAGAATTTTCAATTTCATCAATCCTATCCACTGGGATGGGAAACTCCCGATATTTCTCACTGGCCAGATCAAGGGTTACGATCATGTACTGACGTTCACGGTGTAACTTTTTCCACATGAGCCAACTTAGAGCGCCCCTTGAAAATACCATGTGATTGTTACATAACGAAAAACCACTGCAAGGCATGTTCTGGATCCTTTTCCATGAGTTGGCTTTTAGGTTATAAACACTGACTTCATACTCATTAGCAGGCTTCCTAATAATCCCCACTAATTTATAGTCGTCAGTGGTTGAATCGTACCCGAATCCATATATATCCAACATCTCTGATTTTGGTGATTGCTGTGCACGTGGTTCATGTGTTCTAATGGGAATTTTCTTCAGCTTTTGAATTGACGGGTTCCACAAAGCAATATAAGAAATATCCTTATCGATATAGTTGCGTATGCAAACCAGACCATTGACATAGCCCACTGTCACAGTAGTTTCCCTTACTGGGTCTTTTGCCAGAATCGAAAACCCGACTATCGTGGCTGTCCTGAGCTTCTCATCGTTGTCAAAAGGCAACGAAAAGAAATATGAGGAATATTTAAAAGTACAGCCGCTCGGCTATACTCTCTAAATAGATTCGAGTATTTTAAATGTATAGCCGGACGGCTATACTCTTTAAATATATTCGAGACGAGCACGAAGCTTGCACTCGCAGTCACTGCTTCGTCCTCCGGGTTCGGCACCGGAAAAAGACCCGACCCGCCTAGGCGCCCGCCTAGCCGCCTAGAGACCGCCTAGCGACCGCCTAGCAGCCTAGCGGGCGTTCTTGAAGGGTTCAACGACAATTCACAAGATGCACATTCTTGAAGGTAATATTGGATATCCCACACTCGTAGTAGTAGTTCAGAACTTCAGATAGGTTGATATACAGTCAATATAATATTCTGACCATCTGTGAACTGTCATGGGAATTTAAATCCCGTCAGCACTGACAGCATCAATCTTTTCGACAATTGACCTATTTTGCTTTTTACAAAATATAATCTCACATTAACTCAACAAATCTGATGTTTTGCAGTTCATAAACAACCTTTCTGATGACCCGCTGCTGAAGACGCTTGGGCCTAACTTCAGATCCTATTTCTATCGAGCTTTTCATCAGTTCAAGAGAGTCTTTGCAGAATTTAAAAGGTCTCACCATGAGGTATGTATCAAAAGTCCTTTGTTAATTGGTCCGTAACAGCTGTTGGAAAAGGAAAATATTTCTTCAATGTTCTTAGGAGGACACTGAGGCCACTCCTATGATACATCTTTATAGTTTTCTGCCATTAAGTCTGCTGTTGTTTACATTTGCATATCTCTTTACTTTTATAGAATAGTTTCCAAATTTTGGTGGTTGGTTTTCTAATTTTCAAGAACTCTGAGGGCACATCTTTGCAAAACTTAAACATGTAACGGATTGTCTCTTCCTACCTCCAAAATTATTAGTTGTAAAAACACTGAGAATTACATGACAGATGCTTGTATTACCCTAAATAATCTCATTTAGCAGGTTTTCTTACCATGAATGCATATGCTATATTGTGGAGGACTGCACCATTATTTACAATCACGACCGCCTAGGCCAATTTTCTTTTTACAGTTACAACATTTCATCGAAGAGAAACTGGAAAAGAATGAATTCACAGCAGCTCTTGCAAATGAGGAATTAGTTTTCTTTATGGTATGTAGTCAATTTTCTTTCTTTTTAATTATTTCTGTACTCTTTTCTGCCGCAACTTTTTCTCAAGAAATATGTCTCATTTAAGCATTTTCTTGTGGTATTCTCCTTAATCAGAGTTGCTCTCATCAAAACTCACTAGCTGAAAGCGTCACAAGTTCTGACTGAAAGAAATTTTCGAGAATTTGATATTGTTAACAGGTATATTTGATAGCAACTGTTACCATTTTGGCCTAAGTTAGGAGATTTGATGCATAGATCAATGCCTACAACAGCGACTGTAACCATTACAAACATGAATGTATAATAGTTTGAAAGATATCTGATGCAAGTTTTTGTTAGATTCTCTTATGTTCCAAATGGCCCTAAATCTGTCGTCGTATTTCCTTCAATCAAAGACCCTAATGAACTATCCCATCGAACCACTCATCTAGTATATTTTCAATCTGTTTGTTGATGTTGATGTCAAGCATAGAGGTGTCAAACGGGACGGGCCGGCTCAGCACGGCACGAGCCCAGCTCATTTAAATGGGCAATGTATGAATTGATCTTTGACCTTCTCTAAAGATAGATGACGTGTGATTGAACATAACATGAGCTTCCGTAGAGAATGGAAAGGACGAGTTAGATTTATGTAGCCAACTTAAAGTAGTTGAACCAACAATATATGTCTTTGTCTCAGCATCCGTACAAGACATAATTCGGAGATTTAAAGAGGCTCACAGTAACTTTGATGAATTACCAGAGAAGGTCTAAGTCTTAATAATATGTATTTTATCATATGTTGATTTCTAGGGAATAAACCATGTTATTACCCAATCTGGCGGCTTGTTTTAGCTACAATGAACTTACATTTATTACTTTCCTCTGATAGCTAGTCATTCAGGTTTGCTTTTCTGTTTTTCCTTTTTTCCTCGGCTCATTTTTCCTTGTCTTAATTAGGGTGCTCTGCAGCTCAGTGATACTCACCCATCTCTAAAAAATAGCTGAGGTCATGAGAGTGCTTGTTGATGAAGAGCATTTGGGTTGGAATAAAGCGTGGGACATTGCTTGCAACTGGCTTGCGAGCATATGCAACAGATCCTGACCTTCGCCAAGAATGGATGATGGTACTCTCTAGGCTTGATATCTGCTTAGGAACCAAAAATATATTAAGCTTTTGGCTCTTCTTTTGTATTATTATTATTTAAATCTGTTGTATATATGCTCATGTTGTAGGTTAAGAAGGTTAACAAAATGAGGCTCGCTGAGTACATTGAAGCAATGAGTGGTGTGAAGGTTTGGTCACAAGTTCTTAGAACTTCTATCCTGTTCATCTTTTCTCTTTTGTCTTGAAGGTATGTCTAATAGATTACACTGAAATTTATCACTTTCAACTGCAGGTTAGTTTAGATGCAATGTTTGATGTGCACACAAAGCGAATACACGAGTACAAAAGGCAGCTAGCACCTGCTTAACATACTTGGCATTATCCATCGATATGACAGTATCGAGGTGAATCTGATTTTATATGCTGAAAAACTTTGCATTCCATATTTTTATAACTTATTAACAAAGAACTACCTTATACCTTCTAAAGGGAGCTATCACTAGTGCATACGTAGTTCATCTTCTTGTCACAGTAATTTAAGAAGTTGTTGGACAGTAATTTGGTGATTTTTCAAGGAGATATGATGTGCAGTTGGAGCTTTCTTCTCATGTTTTTTTTGTATTTTAGCCCTTAACCCCAAAATAATATGACAAAATTGTATATTTAAAGAGTATAGCCGCACGGCTATAATCTTCAAATATGTTCGAATACTTTAAACATATAGCCGATGGGCTGTACTTTCTAAATACATTCGAATATTTTAAAAGTATAGCCGAACGGCTATACTCTTTAAATATATTCGAACAAACACGAAGCTTTTTCTCGGAGATGGCGGAACTTGCACTCGCCGTCACTGCTTCGTCCTCCGGGTTCGGCACCGAAAAAAGACCCAATCCGCCTAGCAACCGCCTAGCAGCCTAGCGCCCGCCTAGCCACCTCCGAGCCACCGCCTAGCCGCCTAGCCACCGCCTAGCTACCGCCTAGCCGCCTAGCGCCCCCCTAGCGACCGCCTGGCCGCCTAGGTTTCTGTTTATTATTTAGTATTCTTTTTGTCTTAGTGCTCGATCGTTTTTTTGATTCCTTGTCATACTCTTGCAGATGGACGACCGAAGATGGCAGGACTTAGAAATAGACTGCTTGGTGAAAGTGTTCGAGAAAGTTGGAATGGAGTGGGTGCTTTTGGATGTCCCTTTTGTGTGCAAGTCATGGTACAAAGCGACCCTCAATCCTTCATGCTGGCAATGTCTCATATTTCCAGACAACGAACGTACTGAGGTTTGGCCTTGGGATGATTTTGAATGTCCTGATTTTCAAAATCTTATGGACAGAATTGCGAGTGAGTTTCAAATTGATGGGGATCGTTTCTCTGTCACTACTTTTTTAAAGTTTGTGATCAATCGGAGCAGCGGAACTGCTGTTCTGCTTAAGCTTCCCAAATGCTGCACAGTAGAGACCTTTGAATTTGCTGCAAATGTGTAAGTTTCCTTTTAACTTGTTCTCATTTTCACTTGTTTAACCGAACTTAATTTTCAAAACTCATAAGTCTATATATTTTTATTTAAATAACTTTAAATTAATCTAACGGGCGGATAAGATGATTTGAACTTGGATGCAAGGGTGGGTTGCTCACTGCTCTGGCTAACTGCCCAAGTCAAGTATATTTTAATTTTTCCTGTAAAAGTAGCATTTTATTGTGTAATGTGTGCAGGTGTCCTGGCCTTGTGACTTCGGGTTTACCCCTAAGATTATTGGAGAGTGAACACACGAACCCAGAGCTGATTGGCAACTGGAAAAATTTGGAGGTGGTGTCATTGGGTTCAAGCCCAAATTTGGTGATAATACTTGCCCTTATAAAAACACACCGCAAGAATTTTTACGGTTTAGATTTGTCCATGACCTTAATTCGTGAAAGTGAGGCATAGGCAATTGTCAAGTTGGTGCCTGATATCAAGTACTTAAACTTGAAAGGTGCAAACATTAGTCGGGATAGCCTTGTCACATTGCTGCACGGCTGCAAAGATCTTGTCGTGTTGCATGTCGGGGATTGTATTGGTTTTGATGAGAACGATGATGAAATATTAAAGTTTGCGTCTCATATTAGTAAATTTACGTGTGGGGGTTCTGTTTTTCCGGAATTTCTTTGTAGGAGGTTTTCTACAGATGATTTGGTTTGTAAAATAGGTTCAATCCCCTTCGATGTTGGCATGTTCAATGAATTTGAAGCTGATGAGGAATGAAGAACTATTTGATTGTTATTTTCATGAGGGCTTGTAATTGTTCCTATCTTTTATTTAAATTATTTCCTTTCTTTTAGTTATTTTGTTCAATTGATATTGTGGAAATTGTAATGTTGAAATAATTATAGATTTTAATTACTTGAACTACAAATTCTTCTTCGTTAAGTTTTCTCCACTGAAAAATAATTAATTTTGTTGTGAAGTCTAATAAAGAGTAGATATGGCTCAAACACCACACAAAAATGCCTAACAATTTAGGGGCATTATTCTTTTAGTCCTCTAGAAGTTTGATCTGTTTGGTGATAGGACAATTATGGCCTTGCTTGCTTTGGTAATTCCTTCTTACCTTTAGCTCAGCAGAGAGTCCCTTGCTTTTGATTAAAAAAAAAGGTCCTACTTGCTTTTCCAAAAGGAAATACTAGATTATGATGCCTCTATTATTGCTGGACTAGTTTCCTACTTTTTTAATTGGCTCCAATCTGAATTCGATTAAATAAGGATTAAATAAGGAGAAGTAAGGAGAAGCTTATAAGGGCAAGTATCATCCTTATATGGCTCAAATCTGAATTCGATTAAATAAGGAGAAGCTTAAATAAGGATGATTTCTTTATTAAAAAAATAAGGATGATTTCTTTGGTGATAGGACAATTAGGGCCTTGCTTGTTTTGGTAACTCCTTAGCTTTAGCTTCGCAGATGGTGCCAAAGAGTCTCATGCTTTTGAGAAGAAAAAAAAAGGGGCCTTACTAACACTGTAACAATAAAGAGAAAAATAATAATCATTACAAAGATTAATAATAAGCCTAGTAGTCTAAAGGAGCATTAGCTCACAGACTCATAAGCAAATTCACCATTGTCGCCCTAACTCCGATCCGATAAGAGGAATGCTAGCAACCTTCTCTTTTCTCTTGACTACCAGATCGAGCTTGTAGGAAGAGGGGACTTGCTGCTTTATCTCAGCTACAACAGTCAGCTTAATGTATTCTTGCATAGAAACTTGTATTTTCACCCCAAAAGGCAACTGCAATTTGAGTGCTTAATGTCATTAGGCCCATAGCCCCCTTACTTAGAACTCACTCCTGCAAAACTAGCTTGCAAAGAAAGCATGCCAAAAAAGAAGTCTTATCCCAACAGAATTGGCCCAATTATACAAGGCCCTGTCTTGCAAATTCACCAGCAGTAGAGGAGTACTCAAACAAAGAATGCAACTCTTAAAGAAAATTTCAAACAAGCTGAAAACAGGATGCAACAGTATGCTGATAAGAGGGAGACCAAAAGATCATTCAAAGTGGGGATTTGGTATGTATTTGAGGTTCAACCTTGCAGACAACTTCTTGAATATACAACTAAGCCGCAAAGTTCCTGCCAAACATAATATTGCTGTTGGCATCATGCTCTTCTCACATGGTAATTTTATCTCATATACACATCATAGCAGGAAACATAAGAAACCACAAAAATTGAAGCATCTTCTGCAATTCTATGTTTTTCACAGGAGTGTCATAATCTATATATACCATGCGCCAAAAGATCATCAGCCAGACAAAAAAAATAAAAAATAAAAAATGGACTACCTAAACAAAAAGCTGAGTTGGTGATATGTGTTGTAAACAAGTCTGCAAACTAACAAACAAACTAATACTAGTAGTGTTACCATACAAATATAATGATTAATTAAAATGATCAATAAGGCCAGTGTAAAGGAAGGAGCATAAGTTCACTTTGCTTTTGATTACACCAGAATTTGATTTATCGTATATATATATATATATATTGAAAGGTATAAAAAAAAACAAAAAGTACATGTGGGTAATTAGATGAATTAAAATTTAGTTAAACAAGAAAAAATCATGATGCATTCTCAAAAGAAAATATAAACATCATGCAACAGTATGCTGATAAGAGGGATTAAACCATCAATGACTCAGAATGTTTACTTCTTGAAGCCTCATTGGTGTGGAAGGTTCTTCCTTACAATAGATAACCAAAGATATCTCTCATGGCAAGTTGAAACAACACCAAACACCAAAAATTCCATTCAGTCAGTCAGCTTCTATGTTTTGCACAATACTCACCTAAAATATGTACCAAACACCAGAAGATCAGCCAAAGCAAAAATAAAAATAAAGTTATTTCGACTACTGAAACGAAGGTGATTTGTAATGATATGAGTTAAAAAAATTCTGCAGACTAACAAACAAACTAATGTTGTTACAGTAAACCCAATAAGAATCTTTACAAATATAATAAGCCTTGTAGTCTAATGGAGTACAAGTTCAAAACTCATTAGCAAATTCACCATTGTTGGGCCAGTGAACTACTTTCTCCCGTGGGAAATTGGACATGGTTGGCTGAATCGTGAAAGATTTGTTTTTAGGGTTTACAGGTTTTCTGCGCATTTGGGGTTCATCTACTAGACTGTTTTTCCATTCACCTCATGGGGGGCTTGGCAACAACATTTTTATACCCAAAACTGTAGCTTTTGGATTTTTTTTGGTCAAAACTTTTTGGGTTTATTTCTTCTCATTTTAGCTTTGAAATTGCCAAATTATAAATGAAAAGAGCTTTCAAGAAGTGCAAAACTACTTTTTTTTAGGTGCGAAAAACAGCTTTCAAGAGAAATTGCAACGGACGTTAAAGTTTAGGCAAAAATACTATGTGAATAATACTTGGTGAAAATGACTATCACTAACATGAGGTGAAGAGTTCCCTGAGATTTGTACAATGTATATATATAGGCCTTTTATTACAAATCATGATGGGAATCATGAAATTATCACGTTTCAACCTTGCAGACAATTCCTTGCAAATATGGCCCAAACACCAACAACAACAAAAAAAAAAAAATCTGTTCACCACAAAAAGAAAAAGATTCATTGAAATGATCAATATGTCCAGTGTAACGGGAGGAGCATAACATAAGTTCACTTACTTTTAATTGAGCACACCAGAAATTCACCCTTATTACCTTTCTCCATAATTCTGATCATCTTTTTTGGCTTAGTAGCAGATCGAGAGACCCTTCACTGCATGAAAGTTTCCTCTTCTTAGAGGTAGAGGGGACTTGCTGATGCCTCCCAGCAATAACAGGATCGCCTTCAAGAAGACAAAGGCTCCCCCAACCATGAATTAATCGACGGGGCAGACCACTAATTTCAACTTGTTTGACACTCTTTTTCTCTAAATCATACCAAAAAAAAGCCTAGTGTATCCTTCGAGAATCAACATCAAAAGAACCATTTTGCCATTCTTTGAAAACACGAAAGGAGTCATATGAACTTCCGGTCCCTGATCCATAGCAAAAAAAGCAGGCTCCAAGATTCTGTCACTCCATATTCCTTCATAATCCAAACATCAGTTCGAGTCTTGAAATTAAGACAAATACACAGATAGTCTCCCAAGACCTCCAAATCCAGAGAACAATCTTCAATATTAATGCCAAGCCTATCCACTGGGATGGGAAACTCCAGATATTTCTCACTGGCAAGATGAAGAGTTAGGATGATGAACTCTAACACTTTGGGCATGAGCAAACTTAGAGCGCCGTTGAAAAACACCACGTCATTTGAATATAACGAAAATCCAGCGCAAGGCATGTCCTGGATCCATTTCCATGACTTGGATTTGAGGCTACAAACATGGACTTGAGAACTAACGATAACACCATCCCTATTACTAGCAAGCTTCACAAGCCCCACGAGTTTACAGTCATCATTGGTTGAATTGTACCCGAATCCATATACATTATGGAAAGCTCTAAACCTGGTAATGGTTGGGGCTCAAGGGTTGTGAAGGAAAGCTTCTTGAACTTTTGAATTTACAGGTTTCACAAAACAATATCCTTATCGATGCGACACTTGCAGATGCAAACTAGACCATAAGGGTAGCGATGTTCGGAAATAACCCATGCTGCTGGGTGTTTAAACGGCGTTGGATGCCCAACTTTGGCTGTCCCTAGCGTCTCATTGTCATCCAAAGGCAATCAAAAGATGTCGTCGTCATATGACTCGAATAAAATGGTGCGAGTATAGTTGGTTTTGATGGAGCGTTCAAAGTGCGCTCTGGTGAAGTCTTGGTTGTGGATGAAAGCATACCAGGCTTTGGAAACACACGTATATTGGATCAAATCCTTCAGGTGGAGCCGTAAAAGGGACGTCGTTTCACTTGGAGTGTTTTGAAAAAGAAAAAACACGCAAGTTTCTGTTTTTTTTCAAACTTCCCTTTATTGTAATAAACTTAAAGCAAGAAGAATTAATATCTTCTTATCTCCAGCCGACTGTAGCTTTTTTACTTACCTTTTTTTTTTGTTTTTTTTTTTTTGTTCCCTTTTTTACTAAATTAATATATTAACACATGGAATTATATATATATAGTACAACCCTAATTTATACCCTTACTAGATAATCTCCATCAATTTCAAGAATTCTCTTCATCTTTCGATTGCAAGTAAGTCATTTTGTTTTTCTCTCTAATTCTTCGCAACTGTAATTTGAAGTTCCGTATAATTTTTTTTCAATTTTTTTAAAAATATATTAGTTATCTTATTCGTTTATGTGATATAGTAGAAATTTGACGTATATGCATCATACTTGTATCTTAGAAATATTAATGGTGTTGTTTTATAGCTATGATATTAGTGTTGAGGAGTGGGATGAGTGAATTATGTTTTTGTTTTGATGTTGAATAAATATTTTATGTTTTGGGATTGATTATTATGCTTTGAATGACAATTAGTACTTATATTTAATTATATTTAAAAGATTGTTATGGTTCAATAAGAATTAGTTGTACAATTTAATTGTATTGTATTATTCATAAATTTTTCTTACTAAAATAAATTAATGTTCAAAAGGCTTACGCCTCAATGCTTCAAGGCTTACGCCTCAATGCTTCAAGGCTTACGCCTCGCGTAGCGCTACTAAAAACGCCTCGCCTATACGCCTCGCCTTTGAAAACATTGATCCTTATCGATGCGACACTTGCAGATGCAAACTAGACCATAAGGGTAGCGATGTTCGGAAATAACCCATGCTGCTGGGTGTTTAAACGGCGTTGGATGCCCAACTTTGGCTGTCCCTAGCGTCTCATTGTCATCCAAAGGCAATCAAAAGATGTCGTCGTCATATGACTCGAATAAAATGGTGCGAGTATAGTTGGTTTTGATGGAGCGTTCAAAGTGCGCTCTGGTGAAGTCTTGGTTGTGGATGAAAGCATACCAGGCTTTGGAAACACACGTATATTGGATCAAATCCTTCAGGTGGAGCCGTAAAAGGATGTCAAAGATCAGCTCCGGTGGGATGTTTGACATGGTTGAAACTTCACAGGTTGGGTTTGGCTTCCTTCAGATTTTGGTTTTTTATTTTTTGAAGAAACCATAGGACATTGCAAAATTTTAGGGTAATCATCCAATTAAACCTAGGAAACCTAAACGTGCTTTAAATAAATAATATCGGAAATTAGTATCTAGTGAGCTACTTATTCTTTAAAAACAAAAAACAAAACTCACCTATATTTCCGCAGTGAATTTCTAAAGATTATAGTTATCTTCCCATCAAAACCTCCCCCCTTATGCACCAAGAGACTCCCCTCGTTCTGCTGATTTCGGCCTATTTCAAATGGTCCCTAAAAGCACCTTTATATGGTCAAGTTATAACTTATACAGGTGAAAACAAACAAGATCGAAAGCCCACTAATAGTAATAAGTATTGGATCATATAGGAAGATCATCATGCATTAGTTCACTTGCTTTTGTTTACACCATAATTTGATATCACCAAAGGTGTGAAGAGAAAATCAAATGACCAAGGTAAATCTTCCCCCTCGATAGAATAAAGCAGGGTCCAAGATTCTGTGACTCCATATTCTTTCATAATCCAAACATCATGTTGGGTCTCCAAAAAAGTATCATAAAGGATTAAACAGCCCCCCAAGACCTCCAAACCCAGCCTAGACTCGTTATCCGGATCGACCGGGATGCAAAACTGGCAATATTTCTCACCGGCAAGACTAAGGTTTAGAATTATGTGCCGATTTTTCTCTAACCTGTTCTGCACAAGGCAACTCAGAGCACCGTTGCAAAACATGAGATAAGTTGGATGAACTCCATAACAATTGCAAGGCATGTCTTGGATCCTTTTCCATGAGTTAGATTTTAGGCTATAAATGTGAGCTTGAGAACCCAGACCATGAACAGAGTAGCCCAATAATATGTCAGTGAATTCGTCAGGGCATTTCAGCGGCTGTTTGATTTTCACGGCTGTTCCGATCGTCTCGTTGTCGTTGAAGGGCAATGAAAAGAAATGTGATGGACATTCGGGACTAAATTTCCTGAGTAAAATGGTTAAAGGAGCAGAGTTGGTTTCAATGGAGCGCTGGAGATGGGTTTTGATGAAGAACTGGTCGTGGATTAAAGCATGCCAAGCTTTGGAAACACAGAGGAATCGCATCAAATCCTTGAGCGGAAGCCGTGAAAGAATGTCGAAGATTAGCTCCGGTGGGAGGAAGGACATTGCTCTGATCATCCCCTAACTCTGTAAACAAGTCTGCAAAGCAAACTAAAATATACTGTTACCAATTAAAACGAATTAAAATGATCATCCCCTAACTCTGTTTCGCGCCAATTAACTCTGATCATCTTTTGTTGATTTGACTACCAGATCGAGAGACCTCACTGCTTAAAAGTTTCCTCTTCTTAGAGGTAGAGGGGACTTGTCGATCCCTTCCAACAATAACAGGATCAAGAAGAAAAAGGCTCCCGACACCACTAACTGCCACTTTAGATACACGGGGATGACCACGAAATTCAACTTGTTTGAAACTCTTTTTCTTTAAATCATACCAAAAGAACACAGAATTGTGGTACTTGTACGTCAAAAGGACCATTTCTCCATTCTTTGACAACACCAGCGGTTTGAAAGAACGAACATGCACCAAAGGCACAGCTTCTGGCTCAATTGAAAAAAGCAGGGTCCAAGATTCTGTCATTCCATACTCCTTCATAACCCAAACATCATGTGCGGCCCCGAAACGATCAACACAGAGACATAAACAGCCCCCCAAGACCTCCAAAGACAGCGTAGGCGTAAGCATGTTATACATGTCATACAGATCGACCGGGGTGGAAAACTGGCAATATTCTTCACTGGCAAGATTAAGAGTTTGAATTATGTGCGGGGTTTCATCTAACACCTGGTGCATCAGCCAATTTAGAGCACCATTGAAGAACACGATATAATCTGAACGAAAATCAAAATTATTGCAAGGCATGTTTTGGATCCTTTTCCATGAGTTAGATTTTAGGCTATAAATATGAACTTGACGACTCTCAGTATAGCAATCCACTATTCCCACAACTTTATAGTCATCATGAACAGAATCGTACCCGAATCCATAGTAAGCAAGTCTCTCGAATCGCGGCGTCTCAAAGGTTGGGAAGGGAATCTTCTTCAACTTTTGAATTGACAGGTTCCACAAAGCAATTTCCCAATCGACATAGTTGCGTATGCAAACCAGACCGTGAACAGAGTTGCCCAATATGTGTGTGTAATTGTCAGCGTATTTGAACGGCTGCTCAGTTCTCACGGCTGCCCCGATCGTCTCGTTTTCGCTAAAGGAAAATGAAAAGAAACCTGAGGGAGCATCTTCGGGGTTATCTGACCAAATTAAAATGGATAGAGGAGCAGAGTTGGTTTCAATGTAGCTTTGGAGATGGGCTTTGATGAAGCGTTGGTCGTGGATGAAAGCATACCAAGCTTTCGAAACGCACAGGGATCGTATCAAATCCTTGGGTGGAAGCCGTAAAAGGATGTCCAAGATTAGCTCCGGTGGGAGGATCGACATGGTTGGTTGAATCTTGAAATATTGGGTTCTTATTAGGGTTTTTAATTAGGGTTTAGAGGCTGGCTCAACTCTGAATGAAGCTTGAAATCTCATTTTTCAGCTTTTAAAACAAACGAAAAAAAATCTCTCAAAAAAAAAAAAAAAAACTACAAACCAAACTTAGAACGAATTCTTTAAAAAAAACTTAGAACTTAATGGAACGTATTTTTGGTTTTCCTATAAGTAATTGTAATGAATTTCCGACTTGGAGGGAACTCATACGCGTCACTGACCTTCCATTACCTTAAATCTTAACATCAATATAACCTAATCTTACTTTAATTTCCCTTCTTTTTAAAAATTTGATACAATTTTACCTTGATTTGTCATCTTTTGGGTTCATGGAATTTTATGGAGGTTTGAATGCTTGAAGTTCACTAAACATAGACAATTAAGGATACTTCTAGCAAGATTAATGTCCCCGAAACCACCCCCCTTCCGGACCCAAACCTCCTACCACCCACTGTCTGCCATGGCTGCCTCCCAGCAATATCTCTCACCCAAGGATTTATTCTTATTCATATATGAAGTGATCTAATTGGTGTTGAATCCTACAGGAAGATGCTAATCTATTGCATTACAATTTGATTAGAGAAGGTCTTGAGTATAAAGGCCAAGAGCTTGACCAAATTGAAAATAAAGGCCAAGAGCCAACACATATTTGGTACATTTCACACGAAGATTGACCATGAGGCTTTGGTTTTGGTTAAATATGCGGTCGAGAAGGAAGTTATAAAAAAAAGGAAGAAACAAGTATGTATTAACAAAGAAAATTCAAAAGAGGATGGTCTTTATTTGGATACCCAAACAAAGAAAAGCTACAACTCCAAACATCTATTAGGCTCAACAAGTTGCATGGCAGATGTATTTCCTGCATGCAATACATGCTTAGCTGAAGTGAATTAATTTCTCTCAGGTATATGACTGCATATATATATATATATGGGATTGAGTGGTGCAATTTATACAAATTTAATGGAAACAAACACCAAATACTCTCTGTCTAGGTATTGGATCATATAAGAAGATCATGATGCCTAGGAAGTTCACTTGCTTTTGATTACACCAGAATTTGATATCATTTATTGAAAGGTAAACAAAGTAGATGGGTAATTAGATGAATTGAAATTTACTAACAACGAAAGATCATGAAGCATTCTCAAAAGAAAATATGAAACAGTATGCTGATAAGACCATCATTCACTCAGAAGGTTTACTTCTTGAAGCCTCATTGGCGTGGAAGCAGGAAACACAACAAAACTACCGAAAACAGAGGTGATTTGTAATGATATGAGCTAAAAAACTGACAAACAAACTCACCCTTGTCACGCACGCCAATTAACGACTTTCCTCTCTAGCACCAATCATCATATGTTTCTTCGTCTTCGCCGCTTGAATATTTCCTTTTCGTAGAGGTAGTGGGAACTTTCTGCTGCCTCTCAGTCTCAGGCTCAGCAATAACAGGATCGCCATCAAGAAGACAAAGGCTCCCCCAACAAACAACTGTCATTTCATATGCACAGGGCCGACCATGAAATTTAGCTCGTTCAAAACTCTTCTCCTTTAAATCATACCAAAAAAATATAGTGTTGTTATCCGACAAAAGAACCATTTCACCATTCCTTGAGAACACCAAAGGTACGCACATAAAATCAATCCACCAGGGCAAATCTCCCCTCTCAATAGAATAAAGCAGGGTCCAAGATTCTGCGACTCCATATTCTTTCATAATCCAAACATCATGTTGGGTCTCCAAAAAAGTATCACAAAGACATAAACAGCCCCCTAAGACCCTCAAAGTCAGCCTAGACTCATTAATATTCAGATGATGGACCGGGTTGCGAAATTGGCAATATTTCTCACTGGCGAGACTAAGGGTTAGAATTATGACCTGATTTTTACATAACCTGTTATAAACGAGGCAACTCAGAGCACCGTTGCAAAACATGAGATAATCGTGATGAATTCCAAAACAATTCCAAGGCATGTCTTGGATCCTTTTCCATGAGTTAGATTTTAGGCTATAAATGTGAACTTGAGAACCCACAATTCTGCCTTTATTTGCAAACTCTAAAATTCGCACAAGTTTATAGTCATCATGAACAGAATCATACCCGAAGCCATAACAGGTGTCCCATGGTTCCCTTCTTTGCTCCATCTCTGAACCAGAAGATGATGATGCCTCTGGTTCAAAGGTCGGGACGTGAATCTTCTTGAACTTTTGAATTGAAGGATTCCACAAAGCCATATCGCTCTCGTCATCGTTGTGAATCCAAACCAGACCATGAACAGAGTAGCCCAATAAAATGTCAGTGTATTCGTCAGGGCATTTCAGCGGCTGCTCGGTTTTCACGGCTGTCCCGATCGTCTCGTTGTCGCTGAAGGACAATGAAAAGAAGTGTGATGGGGGACATTCGGGACTAAATTTCCTTAGTAAAATGGTTAGAGGAGCAGAGTTGGTTTCAATGGAGCGCTGGAGATGGGCTTTGATGAAGATTTGGTCGTGGATTAAAGCAAACCAAGCTTTGGAAACACAGAGGAATCGCATCAAATCCTTGGGCGGAAGCCGTGAAAGAATGTCGAAGATTAACTCCGGTGGGAGGAAGGACATTGCTGGGTGAATCTTGGAAGATTGGGGTTTTAGGGTTTAGAGGTTATTTCTGAATTTGGGGTCGAAGGAAAGATTGGGTTTTTAGGAGATTATTTGTGAATTTGGGGTCGAAAGAAAGATTGAGTGTTTAGGGTTTATAGATTATTTGTACATTTGGGGTTGAAAGAAATATTTGTTAGCCAAGAAATGTCAGTTGCTCAACTCTGTTTTCGTTTTGCCTGTTACTGGAAATGGAGGGAGATTGGCTTCTTTAGAAGTAGCGGTTAGACTTGCATACGTGGCAGCTTTTTGATTGCTTTAGCTTAGTCAGAACCTTTTTTTTTATATATAATATATTTTAATATATTTAAAAGGTATAGCCGCCCGGCTATACTTTGTAAGTATTTTAATATATTTAAAGAGTATAAAATATTTCTTTATGTATTTTAAGTTTTAATAAAAGAAAATATGAAAAACAGTACAATGGAATTCTTTATAAGAGTATACGCATAACCTATCGATCAAGGCTTGCATACGTGGCAGCTTTTTGATTGCTTTAGCTTAGTCAAAACTTTCTTCACCTCATGGGTCAAGGCTTGGAGAACTTGTTTTTTTAAAAAAAATAAATAATAAATAAATAAATGTTGGGCAAAAGATTTTGTGTTTATTTATACCCTAACACTTTTAATCTTCTTTGAAGTCCCAACTTATAAATGAATAGAGAAAATAAATTGTTGTTGGCATTCCAATAAGATCATCATCCATTCCTCAATTGGCAATTTCTTCACTATATTATTATAAAGTAGAAATGTACAACTACTTTTTGGTGAAACTGGTTATCAATGACATGATGTGAAGAGTTAGAATTGTACAATGCATATTTTAATAATTTATTTATAGGCTTGCAACTTTAGATTATGATCAAAGAGTAATGTTGCATTTTATTTCAATCTCAATAGAGAAGACACTCTATCATTTGAATGTTTCTAGCTTTATTTCAGGAATTTTACTCAATCTTCTAAATTTCTGTGGGAGAACATAGACAACAAGTGGACAAGAAAAGCACCCCATAG